CCCGGGTTCTCCAAATTTTAAAAAAATTTTGAAATTCCAGAAATTTTTTCAAATTTTTTTGTGAAAGAACTATTTTTTATGGACAATCCTATCTTGAAAATATTTTTTCTTGTCAGAAAACTTCTCCTTTTCTTTCACAGGAACGGAGATATATTGACTCAAAGTTAAGAGAGGGGGCGTTCCATTAGAGTGTGTACGGCAGGTCCTCCGACAAGATGATAAGCTCAAAATACGAAAAAAAAATCTTAGGACTTGATTGGTTTTTGAAGATTCTTGGGAACGTACTATTATTTTCCGATCCATGGTTTTGGTGTTCAATAATCGGAGAAAGGCTTATTTCCTGTTAAATTAAATTCCATTCTATTTTCATGGCTCTATTTTTTGTTCAAAATAAACCAAGTTTTTGGGTTTTTCATTTCCGGTACACTTACCATATTTAGGTCTGTTTTCCGCTGAAAATAGAGTTCCCAAACTTTGAACCCATATCTCATTTCCTGTTATAGATATAAAAAAGTTGTCAACTGATAAATTGTTTATCATAATTACAGAAATGTTTTATCAGTTGTCACATTTTTGATATCTCTTATAGGAACCGAGATAATTGAGCTAACAATATATGGTATGTCAAATTTTCTAAAATTCCCATTTTTGAAGCTTCCAACTTTTGATATGCAGCAAAAATCTCGGAAAAATAATTCAATTTGTAACCTGATTTGTAGGGACAGACATCAATTTAATTTTTCAACATTTTTCTTGCTCCGAAAAAAAACGTCATGGAAATCCATGTCATTCATTTTGACGTCCTTCTCATCTGCCTTTTTCTTCTTCTCCATGTCTGATTAGTCAGAGATCTGTCATGACACAAAATGTTTTTTTCATTTATTCATTTTTCTTATTTCATTTTGTAAATCAGTCTCATTGAGTTTTGGATATGTACCCGTTTTCGGTTCCTTATTGAATTTTCCTCCGCCCTCAGGATCATTTGGTTTCCATTCTCCATTTCATTCATTCATCAAGTTGTTCCATTCATTCATCAAGTTGTCAAAGTGTGTTTCGATGAAAGCTTGATCTATTCAATAGGTTTAAGGATGTGTCTGAAAAATTTATCAATAGAGCATAATTGCATTTGGTTTCGTTTTGAGGATTTTATGGATTTTTTAATTTTTGGATTTTTGAATTTCCGATTTTTTGGATTTCCATAACTAAATGTTTTTTAAAAAATTCGGAGTTTTTCGAATTTTCGAAATTTCCGACTTTCTGAAAATTCTGAGAATTCTGAAGTTTTGAAGTCGGTTTTTCAGAACTTCTAGAATTTTGAATTTTCAAACTTTATTTGAAATCCAAATTTAAATTATTGTATATTTGAATATTTCAAATATCCGATTTTCTGAATTTTCGAAGTTTTTGAATTACTGAATTTTGATAATTTAATTTTTTCTTGAATTTTCGAGTTTTCTGAATTTTCGAATTTTTGACTTTTCGAATTTCCGAACTACTGAATTTTGATAGGATTCCTGGATTCCTAGATTTCTAACCTTCTAGATTCCCAGATCCATAAATCCCAAATCCTGGATTCCTGTATTCCTGAATTCCTGAATACCTGAATTCCTGGTTTCCTGGATTCCTGGATTCCTAGATTCCTGTATTCCTGAATTCCTCGATTCCTCAATTCCTAGATTCCTGGTTCCTGGCTTCCTGGGTTCCTGGGTTCCTGGATTCTTGAATTCCTATTTTTTGGATTTCAGAATTTCTAAAATCTTGAATTTTCGAATTTTAAAATTACTAAATTTTTATACCATAAAACCTGCAATATAAGAGTCCCTCGACTTTTAACTAAGCCAATTTATCTCGGTTCCTGTAAAAGATAACAAAAAGTGATCAACTGATAAGTTGTTTATCATAATATCACAAAAATTTTAACAGTTAACACATTTTTCACACCTCTTATAGGAGGGCCCTTTTATTACAGGTTTTACGCCAGTTGAATTTTCTCAATTTTACAATTTTCCGAATTTTGGGAGTTTTTCAATTTTCTGAAATGTGAATTTTCTTTTTTTTTTAAATTAAACATTCGAATTTTCATTTTTCTCAATTTTTCGAATTTCCTGGAATTAATATTTTTCCAGATGTCCACCACCCCAACAATTGAAGATCATTGCTTAACAATGGAAAAGCTTTCTGGCTCATTACTCCTTCGTCTTACCCTCATATTCAATTTAATCACTAGTATCATAGCACTCCCATTGCTTCTAGCGGCTAGTTATGCTTTGTGGAGAGCCCGAGTTGCAAAATTATTCCATGTTAACATTATAATAATGTTCCAAGTTCACATACTCGGATTTATATTACACTGCTTCAGTAGGTAAAAGCCTTTTGTAAAAAAACTAAAAACAAAAATTATAACCTTCCAGAATAATCCTCCACACGCTCGATTTGTACAACTACGCATTTCTGGATTACTGTAACATGACACCTAGCACAATCAGATGTTTCGTGTTTCGAGTACAGTATGTTTTTGGGTTATGGATAGTGTGTGCAACTACAGTACCACTGGTAATTGAGAGGTATATTGCAACTGTGAAATCTTCAAATTATGAGCACATCGGATGCTCTTTAGGAGTTGCTATGGCAGCGCTACAGGTATCATTTCCACATTTTTTTGGTTAAAATTTTTTTTTGTTCCAGGTTCTTATTGCATTTGGTCTAACTTTTATAAATTTTCGAAGCTTTTCATTTGAGGAGCCTGTTATGAATTATTGCATGGGAATTAAAGCTGGGGCGGTTAGCAACACTGAAAAGGCTGCGTTTGTAAGCCTTGTCGTCCAAGTTCTAGCCAGGATTTTGTTTCATTATTTGCTGAAAATAAATGAGGTATTTTGAGACTTACAGTGAAACCTGTAATAGAAGGGCCCCAGAACTTTTAACTTTTATCTCATTTCCTGTGAAAGATATCAAAAGGTGTCAACTGATAAATTGTTTATCATAACATCAATAACATTTTATTAGTTGACACATTTTTGATATCTTGCATTGGAATCGAGATAATTGAGCTCAAAATTTATTTATAGTGTTGGGATCCTTTTATTGCACGTCTTACGGTATAGGGAAATTTTAAACTATTCAAAACTTTTCCAGAATTATCGAAAACAGCAACTGACATCTTCGCTATCCAATCGATACTCTTTGGAGCAGAACTTGAAATCTATGAAGACTTTGAAAAGGTTCGCAGACTTGCAGTCGGTTTTTATGGTTATCCATATGGCATTGTTCATTTTGATATTGAATATTGGAGAAAGCGTGGAGAAGGCGACGTACATTTCGCTGGTGGAAAGTGAGTTTTCGGTGTTCCCCGGATTCCTGGATTTATGAATTCCTAGATTCCTAGATTTCTATCCATGAATCCTGATTCTTAAATTTCTTGGTTCCTGAATTCCTGGATTCCTGGATTCCTTGAATCCTGGATTTCTGGATTCCTGAATTCCTGAATACCTTGGTTCCTCGGTTCATGGGTTTATGAATTCCTGGATTTGTGGATTCCTGGATTCCTGGATTCCTGGGTTCCTGGGTTCTTGGGTTCCTGGATTTCTAGATTCCTGGATTTCTGGATTTCTGGATTTCTGGATTTCTGGATTTCTGGATTTCTGGATTTCTGGATTTCTGGATTTCTGGATTTCTGGATTTCTGGATTTCTGGGTTCCTGGGTTCCTGGTTTCCTGGATTCCTGGATTTCTGGATTTCTGGATACCTTGCTTCCTCGGTTCATGGATTCCTTGATTCCTGGACTCCGGGACTCCTGAATTCCTTGATACCTTGCTTCCTCGGTTCATGGGTTTATGAATTCCTGGGTTCTGGATTCCTGGATTTGTGGATTCCTGCCTGGGTTCCTGGGTTTCTGGGTTCCTGGGTTCCTGGATTCCTGGATTCCTTGATTCCTGGATTCTTGAATTTTTGGATTCCTAGATTCTCGGATTCCTGGATTCCTGGATTCCTGGATTCCTGGATTCCTGGATTCCTGGAATCCTGGATTCCTGGATTCTTGGATTCCTGGACTCCTGGATTCCTGGATTCCTAGATTCATGGATTCCTGGATTCCTAGATCCACGGATCCCGATTTCTGAATTTCTGGATTCCTGTATTTTCGGCATCTGAAATCAGACCTAAAAACCTCTATTATTTTCAGTGAACGCTCCATACCCCATCTACGCTGTCATCTCGATTGTGGTCCTTCTCAAAAAAGCGCATCTGAACAAAGTGAAGCTAAAAAAGACCCTCGAAACTCATGTATATGCAGATCAAAGTGTCTACTTTGAGAATTTCAAAAAGTTTTTGGTTTAGATTTTTAGATTTTCACATTGAATTGTTTTTGTTGTTTTTTGTTTTATAATGAAATTTTGAAAATAATTTTTATTGGCACCCCGCCAATTCTTGTCTCAGGACCTTATAACTTCTAATAATCCATTTTCATGGTCACCAATTTGTTCTTCGTCTTCTTGCTGATTTCATTCCCTTTTTGCGTTACTGTGCTCGGTCAGTGAGGAAGAGAAAAGAAATGGAGGTGTCTCAGGTTGAGATAACAAGAAAAAGGAGATTGGACATCTCAACATTTCACATTTGTTAGAGGAATCTGAATTAACAATATCTGCAAAGTGTCTCTCATAAAGATTCCATGGAAATTTTGTGAGGGGCAAGGGGCAAAAAATAAAAATAGGACTGTAATCCATACTTGCAATCGGGTCTTCGCCTGGCCTTCGCGGGATCTGCCATAGTTTCTTTTAGAATGAATATTTTGAGACCAATTAAAGTAGAGATGATAGAACTCAACGAGTACTTCAAAATGATATTATTTTGAAAACTGTGTCTTGTCTATGAACAAAGTTACAGACAAAAAACGGAGACTTGGCACTGCTCGGGCCTTCGCGATAGGGCCCAGCCACTTTATGACTACTAACTTCGTTCATAGACAAGACACAGTTCTCCAAATAGTATCATTTTAAAGTACTCGTTAAGTTCTATCATATCTGATTTAGTCGGTCTAAACATATTCATTCTAAAAGAAACTATCTCAAGGCCCGTGAAGGGGCGAAGGCCAGGTTGCAAGTATGCTGTAATAAGTATTTTCGAAATTTCTAATGACCAAAGTTTCAGAAAATTCTCAAAGCTTTTCTGAGAACACCTCCCTTGTTAACACTCTACATATTAGTGAAATTAGAGTTCACTAATTACAAACTTCCTAAATACCGGAATTCACTTCCACCTTCCACAAATCACCTCCACTAACACTATAATTGCAAGAACAGAAAAAAAGTGGCCGAGAAGAAAATTGAAATATGACTACGGCAAGATGACTGTATACCAATTAATCCTCTTTCGAGAAAACTATACGTTTTAGTGGTCAAAAAAGTGAATGAAATCCGCAAAACGATGAAGAAAGTGACGATTGAAGATGACCGTGAAAATGGATTAATAGAAGAATCGGCGGGGTGCCAATATACGTTTTTGTTACTGTATGTTTATTAGCGTCCTAGAAAATTCATTTTTAAGAAAATTAGGTCACCATTTAGTTAGGCGGGTGTCGTACCGACTCGACTCGACTTTTGTCGACACGATATCGCTCTTGGTGAAGGTCGACACGATTTTTTTCGACTCCTTCAAAACGACATTTTGACTCGAAATCGCTCGACAACCGTGTCGACACGTTACTCTAATGTTTATATAAAAAGCACTTTCAAAATTTTATTAATTTAAAAATACAAAAACATATATTGGCACCCCGCCAATTCTTGATCCATTTTCACGGGCATTTCCGATCATCACTTTCTTCCTCTGCTTGAGGATTTCATTCATTTTTTGCCACTAAAACGTATAGTTTCTTGAAAGAGGATTAATTGGTATAAAGTCGTCTCGGCGTAGTCATATTTCATTTTTCTTCTTGACCACTTTTTTAGTCCCTTCATAATTATAGTTTCAGTAGAGGTGATTTGTGGAAGGTGTGGGTTTAGCTAAGGAGGGGAACTCTGGTATTTAGGAAGTTTGGAATTAGTGAACTCTAATCACCGTGAGCATTCTAATTCAATGCCAAGCGAACCGTCAACTTTGAGCTCAATTATATCGGTTTCTTCAAAAAATATGAACAAGTTGTCAATTGATAAAATATTCAATATCATAGGATTGCCTGTATTTTCCAATCTTTTCCAGTCTTTCATCTACTAGGGATCACTTTTATAAAATTTAATATTCTTCTCAGCTGTATGGGTGTTATTTCTGATCATTGGGAAGCTTTGGGCCGGAACCAGTGTTGAGCAGAATTCCGTCTTCCGTCTTCCGTTTCCCGTCTTCCGTGGTTTTTTTCGTTCCGTCTTCCGCGCTTCCGTCTTCCGTCTTCGGTCTTCCGTAAACTCCGGAAAAATCACAACAAACGGAAGACTAAAACTTTTCAGGATTTGTCGATTTTTCAGTCAACATTTCTAAAATTCTTTTGGCGGATCCGTCTAACCGCAAAACTGATGCGAAAACTCAATTCTAACGTAATGTCCAATTCAAAATTTTCAAGTTTAATTCTTAGATTTTCCGTCTACCGTCTTCCGTTTCCCGTCTTCCGTAGATTTCTTTCTTCCGTCTTCCGAATTCCGTGAAGCGAAATTGTGTTTCCGCTCAACACTGGTCGGAACTTGCCCAAAAACGGCTGTATAGCGGCCCATGGTTAGATTTTGGTCAAAATCTGACCAATCTCCGCCCAGACGCTCATCGCTCCCTAATACTATTGGTAACCCAATTCTAACAAGTCGCTAACAAATTACAAAGTAACCTGAAACCTTTGAGAACCGTTTTATTACCCATCTCAACACCTCATAACTTCGTCCCCCTTCTCTCTGTTCATCGCCCTCCGACTCCTCCAGATGTCGACCATCTGGCGCCCGTAGACACACCTGCATCGTCTTTCCACAAAAAATTGTGTTTTTTTTCTTGAAAAAATGTTGAAAATATACTCTCACCTGTTCCTTCGAGAAACGCAACTATTTTTTTCGTTTTTTTTCAAGGTTGGCTGTTTTTAAAGTAACACCTGGTAATTTGTCCATCAATTAGATGTAATTGGCAACACTACGGATATTTTGGTGTGTTTTTGTATGTTACGCAAGATTTTGCACCTTGATTAGCAACAGTTTAGCATATTGGTTGGATAGGGGACATTGGCCAGGCTAGATGGGGACAGAATACGTCCCGCTGATTTGTTGATGGATGAACGCTGGGAGGAGGTAAACAATGGGAACGGAAATGGAAATAATTAATGGGGGAAGGGAGGAGGATCTTTTGAATTCGATTTCACATTTTGATCTATGACTTGGTTGCAGAAAGGTACAGTGAATTTATATTTTAGCTACCGTACCACCCTATACGTGCCCACCTTCACATGCACTTTGTGCTCAATTATCTCGGTTCCTATAGGAGATATCAAAAGTTTGTCAACTGATAAATTATTGGTGATATTATGATAAATATTTTTATTGTTGACAGATTTTTGATATATTTTACAGTAATCTAGATCATTAGATTCTAATTAGGGATGCCGGTCATCCACTCCTCCTTCACATAACCTATACGTGCACGTTGAGCTCAATTATCTTGCTTCCTGTGAAAGATATCAAAAAGATGTCAACTGATAAAATATTGGTGATATTATGATAAATAAACTATCAGTTGACAGATTTTAAGATAACTTATAGGAAGCGAGATAATTAAGTTCAAAGTTTCAGTATTGGGTGGGTGTGTATTAGAGAAAATACGGTAATTCAGTCGAAGGTTAGTTTTAACGAAACCTCGAATTTTTATAGACATAGAAAATTGCTAAATTACTGATATACCTTCATGAATTTCAAACTGAGATATACCGAGTTTTCAATAAAATCCTTCAGAAGAAGACATTTTTAATTGAAGGGCCTATGCAAAAAAGTGTCCTCCAAATATAAATTGGAACAATAGATGGGCCCTTCTAATACAGGTTATGGGGCATAATACAGATTATTCTATACAAATAGTCTTCAATTTCAGCTTTGTTTGCTATTTTTAAGGATTTTAAGGCACATTTGACATCGGAGCATGCGCAATCGTTGCTAAATCGTTGCAGAGCACCCCATACGTGTCCTTTGAGCTCAATTATCTCGGTTCCCTATAAGAGATAAAAAAAATTCGGCAACTGATAAAATATTGTTTATATTATGATAAACATTTTATCAATTGATCACTTTTTGCTACCTTTCAAACTAACCGTGATAATTGAGCTCAAAGTGCACTGGAAATTTTTAGAATAGTTGGGTTTATGAAGGACAAATCTCCTAGTCTGACATCTAAGATTTTTGATCATCAACCTAAACCATAATATTCTAGAACATCCGAATCCCATAAAACTCTACATATCGTTGTTTTCCATACGTCACCTGCCAAAAGTATTCCTCATTTTTCTCCATTTTCTCCCACTATACAAATATGTTTTTCGCCATTCTTCTTCCTCTCCTTCTGCTTCTTCTTTTCATCCGTTCCATATGTCGGAAATCGGCATCTCCATTGTCCTTAAAAGCGCCCGTCCTCCACCAATAAAAAGTGCATTTTTTGGGAGACGTTCGGTTTCCCATGAAAAGGTTCGCCACCAGGTGTTCTTCTTCTTCTTCATATCGACTCTCAAATTACAATTACCGCGTAGCGCCAATTGGCGCCAAACGCCATTTCATTGCATTGGATTTTCGATTTTCGATTTTTTTGGATTTTTACTTTCCATGGATCTTTGACAAACTGGGACCATACAGTACCAGCTAAAATTTCATCTATTTTATCTTTTTTTCAATTGAAAATTGCCAATTTCAGAAGTTTCAAAAGTATGGTAAGTTTGCAAGTCTACTAAACAAAAGTAGAACTTTAATTTTGTAGTTGAAAACTTTTTTGGAAAAATTTGTCCAAATGGGATATACCATTTGAAACCAACTAAGTCTGGAGATAGCACAGAGTTCAGAGTCAGGACACTTTCATGCGGTATATCTCATTTGGGTGAATTTTTTGTAAAAAAGTGTCAACTACAAAATTGAAGCTCTATTTTTATTTAGTACACTGGCAAGTTTTCTGTCTTATCAACAAGAAAGTTACAATATTATTGGGACATCCTAATTTAGCTATTTTCAATTTAAAATACTGTGAACTTTGGGTCCCATTACTGAACTTTGAGCCAATTATCTCGGTTTCTGTAGAAAATATTGAAAACTTGTCAACTGATAAATTGTTTATCATAATATCATAAATATTTTATCAGTTGACACATTTTTGATATCTCTCACAGGAACCGAGATAAT